GCAGAGGAGGACTGGAAAGATGAAACTCTTTGAAGTCATGTAAACATTTATAAAAAGTCAAGGTCTTCTGTATGATAAAGGTAAGAAAAAACTTCCCTGACTTTATAAAACAAAACACTCTTGATTTATATAATTTATTTATGCAGCATAATAATAATACATTGCTTCTATGCTCCTGGTAGGAAATCTAAATATGAAGGCAAAATGAAGCTTAATTAGTTTGGAAATATTTCCCAAATTGATTTGATTTAAACTTTTGTTAATGAAAGTGTTCTAAGCATTGTATTTTATACAGATTCTGAAAGTAGCCCTATCATTATTGTAAGGAATGGATTTCCTATGTCTTAGTGTATGTCTTCAAGTCAAGAAAATAAGAATGACACATAAATATTCTCAAAATTGACCAGCTATTTAACACTTAATCCTTACTGAAAACTCCCCAGTTATCGGTGTTAAGAGAAAGTTCTCATAAAGTTTAGAGACTTGAATTTGTATAAACTGACTCTGAGTTCTCACTGGCAATAGATAATCAGCTATGGATTTAATTCATCACTAATATGCCTTGGCCCATTCTGGAAGGTATAGCTGCTATTTGTGGACACAAATAAAATTCAGTTTTGAAAGCAATTTACTTCTTCCCATTAAAAAAAAAATGAGACAGAGCGTGTATAAATGGAAGAGTATAAATAAAGGAAAATACTAATATTATGTATGACATTATATTTATCCAAAGTGATTCCTAGAAGTGTTTATTAAATCCAAACACTTTGAGCACACACTCAGAAATTAATAGATTTTTCAGAAATTACTAGAGATTTATTGCCAGAAATTCTTCTTGTAGCAAATCTGTTCAAATATATTTGAAGAAGAAAGTGAGTACAAAATGATGACTATGATAAAGATTTATACAGAGATATGTTGTGACTTTACTGTTGTACGCTATAAACAGAAAACCATTCTGATAGGAATTGTGTCCTCTTAGCCCCAGTAGTGAACACACACACAAATGTCTTCCTGAAGAATATTTGGAAAGTAAGAATTTCCAAAGCAAAAATTTGAATGTTAATGTGATCTGCATATGGGATGAATATAAAATTGTAGTGGAAGGTCAATGCATATAGATAATTCAAAGTGAAATTCTTTGGCTTTCATCCAGCCTAACTTTGAGTGATTTCAATTTGGCATAAAGTCACAGAGGTTGTAATGTGAACAGCAGACAAAATTATCAAATAGGAATAAGTCAAAATTTTAGAAATGATGACTCATTAGCCATACTGCAGTGAGTAATTACTAACAAGTGCTAGAGTTTGCTACTTAGTGTATTGCAATTTAGCCAGAGAGCTGCATAAAAGGAAGGAACTGTTTGAGTCCAGTCCGCATTTGCTGTAAAGAGAAAGCTTCACACAAAATTAGTCGTTAATGTTTATTGTTGTTGTTCTTACAGATTTGTACCCTGAAGTTTGATTTGCAGTCTACATTTTGGCTTAAATATAAAGAAAGGGAACACAAACTCAAATTGATTCATTTCAGAGCCACTGAGCATCT